AATCTGAGACACTGGATAGTGGGGTTCCTTCCTAACAAGAGGGTTTCAGAGCCAGAGGGGTCGCTACCCTCTGGCTGCCCATAGACTGAATAGCTGCACTTGAAGACCAAGAAGTGCCAGCATTGGATTTGTTTGGAGCTGATTGCAGAACCTAACCACAGAGGATCTGGTCCTGAGAGGTGCAGTCTTACTCGGAAGCTGGCAGCTGTCCTGGGGACTTGTGAGTACTGACCTGAAACTGATCTCTGGTAGTATACTGGAAGCTGCACTAGGCAGGGGTGGACTGACAACTCATGGGGCCCCCGGGCAATAGGGGATCATGTGGCCCCTGTGTCCTTGCCCAAACTCAAAAAAGCCTATGAAAAAAAAAGGTACCAGGGGCATCTCATGGGGCCCCCTACTGACCCCGGGCCCTCGGGCAGTGCCCGAGGTTTCCAAATGGTCAGTCCGCCCCTGGCACTAGGTACCGGTAGTTGTGCATTGGCACAAAGTAACCAGATGCCAACACAAAGACTTGCCCCGTGGTCTTCAGCTATGGGGCTTCAGACTATCTAGTGCTAGTTACTACTCCTAGAGAAGATTGCCCTCTAATTATTGACTACCGAGCTTTTTGAAGTATCTAGTACTCAAGTTCCCCTCTCCTGTCCAAGTTTTTCAAGCAATAAAATACCAAAAGACATACCCTAGACTGTTTATTGGAGCCAGTGTGAAAGTACTGTTGCTTGTGTGGATGGGCAGCCTATGTGCTTGTTCGTGAAAAAAACCAGAAAATATCAGCATCCTCTATGGGGGTATCGCTACACACACACAACACATATTAAAATAATAATAATAACCAACAAAAATAACAATATTTCACAGGCAATAATAAGTAATAATGATACAAGCCTTAGAAAATAATAAATATGTAACATGACGAGTGCAATGTCAAATGGAGACATTTTCTTCCACTTTGCCAGGCACTTCAGTTAGAAATAACTAGGAGTGTTTAACAGCACAAGAAATAATATTTAAAAATATAGCCAGCCAAAGTTACTTGCAGGAAATGTCACAGTAATTACAGGGAATTTCACTATTAAAACCTGAAGCAGTAATTGGTAGGTACATTTTCTGAGCAGTTACAGTTGTTAGGTGAGTGAATGACACACTACATCAAATAAGGTATTCTTAAAAGAATACAGTTTTAAATGAAAAAAAAAGTGATTTAGATGATAATTCTCCTCCATATAGGATTTATTTATTTGTGGTCTAGACAATTGCTCCTGACAGCTCCAAGCTGATAAGACAAATATTTTACAGATATTCTCCAATGTCTTCAAATCAGGTCTTTTTTTTTCCTTCTGCTGAAATGAGTGTTTTTCTTCCAAAAACAAAATTATTTTAAAATAAAAAAGTTTTCTAAGTTAGTTGAATTTTAAAGGACGACTGACACTGAAATATATAGTAGACGGTACACAGAGTTATAATTGCATACTGGCTTCTTCTTACTCTCACATCTGTTTACAGCTGGAATCCAGGCAAACAACTAAGTACAGAACTGAAATATATATATATATATATATATATATATATATATATATGGGAGTTGTTTTACCTAACAAAGTAATTGCAATTTTGTTCATCCAGTCCTGAGTTGTGCAGTCCCGCCAGAGAGCACAGCCAGGTTACTGTCCTCACTTTTTTCTACTGTAATAAGCAATAAAACCTGGTCTCCTCTCCTGTTTCCTACCTCATAATTGGACAATGAAGGAACAGCAGCAGACTGAGAAGGTTATCTTTCTACTCTCTCCTTTCAGATGTTTTTTGGTATCACATCTACATGCAGCAGGGCCAAACCTAGTCCGTGTCCTACTGGGGATTACATGAGGCTAATATTAACCACTTTACGACCACCAGCCCGCCCAAGTTGTTACTGCGGATGGGTGGCCTCTGTAAGCAAAGGGGCATTCCGGTACATCGCTGTCTACTTCTGGGTTTCGGGCAAGACCACCGCCCCCCCCCCGCACCCACTATGATTGTAAACTTTGGAGCCTCTCAGCAAGTTCTGTCCAATCGATATTTATCTTTTGGTGCTACACCCTTATCTTGCTATTTATAATGAAGGTCTTACATTGGTACCTATTGGTGTTTTAGCAGTTGTTTTTAGGAGCACTCACTATCTTTTTATTATACATTGTCCAATTATTCACAGCCAGGACCTGCTGATCAGCTGTGTACAATCAAAGCCCAGAGCTCTGTGTTGACATTCAACACAGAGCTCTCTACACAGAGTAAGCTGTCAATTTCTTATCACTGCTTGCACTAAACTGATAGATCTCTTAGTAAAAGAAGCATACATAGTTAAGTATACATTTAACCCCTGATCGCCCTAGATGTTAACCCTTTCCCAACCAGTGTGATTAGTACAGTGAGTGTATAGTATTATCACTGACCACTGTATTAATATCACTGGTGATGTCAGTGGCAGTTAGTGCCAGATTGCCTGCCACACTCCATTATAAAACACTGATCGCAGCCAATAGTAGGATTACCAAAAAAAAAAAATACCTATAAGTATCCCATAGTTTGTAGATGTTATAACTTTCATAAAAACCAATCAATATACACTTATTGGGATATTTTCTTTTTCAAAGTTTTTTAGCAGAATACATTTTGGCCAAAATGTATGAAGAAATTGGATTTTTCTATGTTTCATAGCAGAAAGTAAATACATTTTTTTTTATAAAGTTTTTCTCATTTATAACCTTAAAAAATTAAAAAATAAAACCCAGCTGTGATCAAATACCACCACAAAAAATCTGTGCGAAAATATATAAATTTTGTTTGGGTACAGTGTTGCATGACCGCACAATTACCAGTTAAAATAGCACTGCCTGTTATAGCAAAAAATTTACCTGGTCACGAAGGGAGTAAAATCTTCAGGAGCTGAAGAGTTTAGGGCAGGAAGTGAATAGTAGGATAAAGGGTAGTAAAATCAAAAGAGGCTAACCTCTGAGTTATACTGTTCATAGCAGTTGTGGAGAAACTTCCATTCTGGGTTAGGAGCACTGGCATATTTAGGTTTTGTGCTGCCCTAGGCAACACAAAAATAGGGCACCCCCTACGGAGAGAGCCTGACATTGACTAACAACACCCCTCTGAGAGAGCCTTCCACTAGCACCCCCCCCCCTCCATGGCAAGAGAGAAAGACACTCGCCTTCACAGCTCTGGTCATCCCCCGGAACGAGAGTCGGGTTCTCCATACACCATCAAGCAGCCCGCAACCTCTCTTGGATCTCACCTGGTCTTCATGCCACATATGACCATTCTATTCCTTCTTCCGGGTGGGTACTGCTGCCCCCCTGAAAAATGCCACCCTAGGCAAATGCCTTGTTTGCCTTGTGGTAAATACGCCCCTGGTTAGGAGACCTAAAACGTTTGCAGCTCTGCATCTTCAGTGAAAGTGAAAGAAGAGTTTGCTGACTTTGGCTCCCATTAGAGCCTCTTCCCTAGACTCAGTGTGTGGGCAGACTCTCAATAGTCAAAGCAGCACCATTATTGCTGGGAAATAAATCAATCTATGTATGTAGAGAGGGACAGACCGTGGTGGGGGATAAGTGGAGTTCTGTGGTTCCGACAACACTGCATGGCAACTGCGCTGTGTTGTCAATGTATGAGCACATTGGATTTCTGGAAGGCCAATAGGAATTTTTCTGTACTATTTTCAAAGGGAAAATATGGAGAAATGAGCAGGTATTGTAGATGAGCACTTTTTTTTTACCCAGACATATTAGGTCCTGTAATTATATCCTCACAGGTTCTAATCAATGTCATATTCTTTACAAATATAATCATGGATGACTGAAACAAATCTTCCTAAAATATATCCTCATTTTCCTTCCTCTATTGGTCTAACTGTGCCCCCAGAACTACATCTCACAAAAACCCTTTTCTTACACACAGTGTGTGGGTAGGCTCTTGGGGGTTAAGGCAGCCTCATTGTTTTGAGAGGGGTTGGGCATAGGTGGAGTTCTTTAGTTCAACAAAGTTTGGGATTTCATTACAGCAAAGGCACTGTGTTGTCGACGTTAACAAGAAGTCAGTAGCTCTCCGGATTTCTAGACAATCGACTGGAAGTTTTCTGTACTAGTGGTTTTAAAGGGAAAAAAATGAGAAATGTGCATCTATTACCAAGATTACTGTGTTTTGCCCAAACATGGTAAGTCTTGGAATTCTTTCTTTATGGGTTCTCTTTAAAGTTGATTGTAACTGTATTTGAGCACCAAAGACTGATAACACAATTTGATTTATTTTTATTGTGCACAGCAAACTCACCAAATCCATACATTTCTCCATGATTTATTTTGTTGAAAATCACTTTGAATAATACCCCACTAGCACTTCTAGCCACAGGGCAGATGATTCATGTAGCATTTGCGTCCTGAAATCTGTCTGCCCTTAGCTCATGCATGCTTGCAAGAGGATGTGCTTAGCTGAGAAAGCCCCTCCCCTCTAGATGAAAGAAAAAAATGCCCATGAGGACTCCTGGGATGTATGACATCATTTTGGCCTATGCCAAAAACCAGGAAGCTACTGAAGAAATATAAAAAAAAAAGTTTAAAGTAAATATAGTATACCTTATTACCTATTTACTAATGCTAGCAGCATAAGGATTAAAAATAGGTAATCTAACAGAGTTTATTTCTGCATTAATGTCAAATTTGTACAAATATAACCATGGCTGACTGAAACAAATGTCTTTAACCACTTGCCTACAGGGCACTTATACCCCCTTCCTGCCCAGGCCAGTTTTCTGCTTTCAGTGCTATCACACTTTTGAATGACAATTGCGCGGTCATGCAACACTGTACCTATATGAAATTTTTATAATTTTTTTGAGACAGATAGAACTTTCTTTTGGTGGTATTTAATCAACTCTGGCTTTTTTATTTTTTGCTAAACAAACCAAAAACACAACTGAACATTTTGAAAAAAAAAAAATGTTTTTTTCTTAGTATTTGTTATAAAATTTTGTAAATAAGTGATTCTCTCCTTCACTGATGTGCACTAATGAGGCTGCAGTGATGGGCACTGATAGTATGCACTGATAGTATGCACTGATGGGCACTGATAGGCGGCAGTCATATATGGCACTGTTAGGCGACACTGGCTGGCACTGTTAGGCGACACTGGCTGGCACTGTTAGGCGACACTGACTGGCAGCACTGATAGATGGCACTGACTGGTATTGATAGGTGGCACTGATTGACACTGATAGGTGACACTGAAAGGCAGCTCAGATGGGCATTGATATAAGGCATTGATATGCACTGGTAGACACTGATATGTGGCATTGATGTGGCACTGATGGGCACTGGCAGGTGGCACTGCTGGGGCTACACTGATCATCAGGACACACTGATCATCAGTGCCCTGATGATCAGTGTATATGTTCCCTCCGAGGAATGCCGATTACCAGCTGTCCTCTCCTCTTGAGCTTCAGCGTGACAGCTCATGTGGAGAGAAATGCCGATAACCGGCATTTTCCTATTCACATGTGATCAGCTGTGATTTGATACAGCTGATCTAATGACTGAGCCGACATGTTGAGCTCTTTCTGTCGATCAGTGATCCGCTGTGTCCGAGGGACAGGAAGGGAGTGAAAGTGCCCGGTAAGCAAGACACAATCAGTGTTATGGGCAGACTGTATCTGTTGTAGTGAGTGGAGGATGATGGATCCACACTCTGACAGATCCCAGGATGGAATTCCCCAGACAATGGGGGGAGCTAAAATGCTGTGACAGCGGGCAGCTGAACTGAGTGCTCCCACACAGTGACAGATCCAACACAACACACCGCCAACACTGACACAGATCAGCATGCCCAGCAGGCGCTAGAAGAGCAGGCTTTGGGATCATGATAATGTCATCACTCACTGACACATTAAACATCTGATGGATATCCGGCCAGCCAGGTCACACTCACAAGGACATCAGAGTCAGACATTACCTTCCCCCACAGGTGCAGCTCTGCCTCTGCTGATGAATGGGAAGAGAAGGGCTGGAACTCCACAGTGATCATCAGCCGCTAGCCAGCTTGCAGTAAGGGACTGAGTCTGAGAGGAACACTGGAAAGAGCTGCAGCGCAACTACTACACTGGTCCCAGACACTCAGCATCTTCTTCTGTCCTTTCTTCCAGCCCTCTGATGCCCCTTCTCTCAGCTAAAGGATCATTTATGACATGGCGGTGTCCAACACAGAAAGAGTGCACCCCTAGGTGGCAGTGCGCCCTAGGTGGCCACCTAGTTTGCCTAGTGCAGTGGTGGGCAACCTTTTTTTTCAACTGAGCCAAATCTCGCCAAAACCACGATTGAAATTTATTTTGAGAGCCACATTTTTAAAACTGAAAATACATCTCCCATATAGTAATTCATCCCCCATAGTAATTCATCCCCATATAGTAATTCATCCCCCATATAGTAATCCATCCCCCATAGAGTAATTCATCCCCCATAGTAATTCATCCCCCATATAGTAATTCATCCCCCATAGTAATTCATCCCCCATATAGCAATTCATCCCCCATATAGCAATTCATCCCCCATAGCAATTCATCCCCCATATAGTAATTCATCCCCCATAGTAATTCATCCCCCATATAGTAATTCATCCCCCATAGTAATTCATCCCCCATATTAATTCATCCCCCATAGTAATTCATCCCCCATAGTAATTCATCCCCCCATAGTAATTCATCCCCCCATAGTAATTCATCCCCCATAGTAATTCATCCCCCATATAGTAATTCATCCCCCATAGTAATTCATCCCCCATATAGTAATTCATCCCCCATATAGTAATTCATCCCCCATAGTAATTCATCCCCCATATAGTAATTCATCCCCCATATAGTAATTCATCCCCCATAGTAATTCATCCCCCATATAGTAATTCATCCCCCATATAGTAATTCATCCCCCATAGTAATTCATCCCCCATATAGTAATTCATCTCCCATATAGTAATTCATCTCCCATATAGTAATTCATCCCCCATATAGTAAGTCCCCCATATAGTAAGTCCCCCATATAGTAAGTCCCCCATATAGTAAGTCCCCCCCCATATAGTAAGTCCCCCCCCATATAGTAATTCATCCCCCCATATAGTAAGTCCCCCCCATATAGTAAGTCCCCCATATAGTAATTCATCCCCCATATAGTAAGTCCCCCCTGTGTCAATTCACTTACCTTTGCTCCGCGCGTTCCTCTCGTCGTGCTTCCCGCGCCGTTCTGGTCTTCAGGGCGGACTGTGAGAGGAGAGGAGTTCGTCACGCTGCCCCGCCTACATCCTGGCTGCCCCGCCTACATCCTGACAGCTGCAGAGTCCTGACTTTTGGGGCGGCCGCCCGAGAGGAGGGAGGGGAGCGGGCGGCCGTCCGAGAGGAGGGAGGGGAGGGGAGGGGAGGTGAGGGGAGGCGAGGGGGCGGCCGCCCGGCACACGCCCGTCCGAGAGAGAGGGAGGGGAGGGAGAGGAGGGAGGGGAGGGAGGGGAGGGGAGCGGGCGCCCGGCACACAGAAGAGCCGCATTTAAGCTTGTAAAGAGCCGCATGTGGCTCGCGAGCCGCGGCTTGCCGACCACTGGCCTAGTGGAAGCACCGACCCTGCATGGATTTTCCTTCCCCTTTTCATTGTAGAGCTTTTTGAATTACAGGCAGTGCTGAAGAGACTCTGCCTTCTTGCACTGACTGACAATCAGAATTAATGAGCAATGCCTGTCTTCCTATGTGTAGGAATGATTGTCTTCATAGCTGCTTCCAAACCTCCTCCCATAGGAGTATGGTGGCAGAGCGGCTCTCCTGTGCCGGATCAAGTATCTAGTATGTGATTCCGCACTTCTGGGTAGGGTGATTAGTCACAGCACAAGCCGATCAGTGAGTGCCAGCCAACCCTGGCAATGTAAATACCAAGCTCTGTCCTGACATTGGGGATGTGACGGTTTTTGTTTCCCTGCAAAGCACCTCACAGTACAAACAGAAATACTGGTTAGGCACACATTTAACCCTTTGGTAGCCATAAATGTTTAACCCCTTCCCAGCCAGTGTCATTAGTACATTGGCAGTGTATATTTTTAGCACTAATCATTGTATTAGAAAGAGTTAAGTGTCAGTTAGTGTCAAATTGCCCGTCATACTATTACAGTCCAGCTCAAAGCTTCTGATTGCCGCCATTATTAGTTTAACAAAAAAAAATATTTCAGTATACATATCAAAGTTTGTATATCTTTCACGCAAAACCAACAATATACTCTTACTGGGATTTTTTTTTTACCAAACATATGTAGTAGAATACATATTGATCTAAATTTATGAAGAAGCTTGATTTTACACATTTTTTTATTGGATATGTTTTAAAGCAAAAAGTAAAAAACACTGGTTTTTTTTTTTAGTTTTGGTCTTTTTTTTTATAGCGCAACAAATAAAAACCCCAGAGGTGATCAAGTGCCACCAAAAGAAAGCTCTTGTCAGGAATCCGAGGGTTACCGTGGCGCGCCAGTCTGCGCATGCACGGTCCGTCTAGGGTGCGGACACTAGGACCTGGGCAACCGCGGCGGCAACGGCGGCCACGCATGTGCACTCGTGCCCATGGCAGCGCGCCTGGCACCAATGAGTGCACAGGGCACACTATTTAAACAGGCTTTGGCAATTCACAAATTGCCGTATGGTCTTACCTGATGTTACTGTGTCCTGAGTTCTTGAGTGATTACTAGTTGCCGACCCTGCCTGATCCATTGACCCTCTCCTGCCCTGATCCCTGGCTCATCCCTGACTACTCTTTTGCCTGCTCCTGAATTATTTAACCTCCTGTTGCTGAACCTTTTGCTTGTGACCCGGTTACACTCTGCCTACTGCCTTGTACTGTCTGCCTTGCTGTTATTGAACCGGCCTGTCTGACTCTGCTATACTCTGCACTGGCATCGATCCATCCATCCAGCTTGGATCCAGTCGCTATGGTCCAGGGCCTGCTAGCCTCTTCACGTCAGGCTCTCCACCTGTACATACCTGCGGTGGTCCTCTCTACCTCAGTTGGGCGTACCCAGGGGTTGCGACATGGTCTCAGTTCTGCTCCAAGTCCATCCCCACCATCAGGGGCTCTGGTGAACAAGCAGACTGGGGCTTAAACTCCGCGCCCTAGGGAATCCCGTTCTGTGGTTCACTAGAGATACCACCGGGTGGTACATAACAGTTCTATTTGTGTGAAAAAAATTATATAAATTTTATTTGTGTACAAGGTTGCATGGCTGCAAAATTGTCAGTTAAAATATGGCAGGGACAAAAGGAAAAAAATGGCCTGGTCATGAAGGGGGGTAAATCTTCTGGAGGTCAAGTGGATAGGCACAGATTCAAGCACTGGAGCTCTCCTTCCAAGCCATCTTTTTAAGTATATTCATTTCACTGTAAATTTTGCACAAGGAATATGATTTAAGATTTGGAATCTATACAATACAATTTCTTGATAATGTTATTTCTAATTATTAGGAAACATTAATATCTTTTATATAATGTCTCCATCCTTGGCATTTTTTCAGGCCTCCAAACTGATGAGGCTTCCATCCTGACAAGATGAAAAATGCAGTAGTCTAAACTTTACCAGCATGAATTCCAGCACAGATTAAGTCGAAGGTGCAGTGAGGCAGCAGGGTATAAAAACGAGTGTTAGTTCTGCTGCAGTCACTCGCCTTGTCAGAAAACGATATGATTAAATGTGTCAGTCTGCTACCATGTCTGCTTTTAAAATTACCTAGGTAGTTTGTGTAATCCTGAAAATGTGCATTAGAGCGAAGATACAGTACTGTGTAATTTTGGGCTCAGTGTTGAGAACTCTGTTGGAAAAAACAGCTTGTCTATTGTAGTTTTTAACTTCAACTCGGAAAAATTGTCATCTGGGGAATTTAGGGAGCAGGCATAAGGAAATCAAAAATGAATACAAGATGAAGACCAAGTCCAAAAAAAATGTGTGCGGTCCCCAGGGGCTCATGTAAATGAAAGTTCTCTGGATCGCTTGGGATGACCTAAATTTCTGAGTACATTGTGTAGTTAATATACTGTACCTGAGAGCAATGCATATATTCATCCTCCAGAAAGACAATTTATCTCTATGGGAAAACCCATTGACCCTCATATGAAAGTGTTGGGCAATCTAACCCAGATGTTCACTTTTTAAGATTCTTGCAGAGATATGCAGCTGCTTAAGGCCTCATTCACACTTTGCACAGCAGAAACTCACATTCCTGGTCTTGATTTTCAGGCGATTTTCATGCAATTCCCATTCTCTTCAATGGGCTGCCCTACCTGCATTTGTCATCCAAAAGAAGCTCCTGCTCCTTTTATGGAAGACAAGATTC